CGGCTTTCACAAAATTTCCAGTTGCAAACATCAAATTCCCTGACTTTCATGAATATTTTTAAAATTCCCTGACTATTCCCTGTTTTTTATGAAGAATAACAAATTCCCTGACTTTTCCCGGTATTCCCGGTTTTCCCGGCCGCTATGAACCCTGACTAAGTATTTGTCGTTCTAACCGATAGATTCTATGGTAAATGTATTAAAAGGTGTCACTAAATCCAAAGTCATTGTAAACGGTGTCGTAGTAAATGATATTTTTAATATGGTATTTCTATGGGATTTAATCGGGACTTTCAAATTCCATTGTTATATCCAATAAGTCGTATAAACCAATGTCGTTATAACCAATTTTCACTGTAGTTTCGGTCGGATACTAGTAAATACTAAATAATACCAAAAAACTAGATGCACTACCATTAAAAAAATTGAAGTCAAAAACTGACAAATTTACATTTTTCTTTTTTTTTTAAATTAACTTGATTTTAATATGGATATTTAAATTTCATCAAATAATTTAAAACTATTTGAATTTGGCCAACAAATCTCCATATATATTTTTTTAAATGTAAGTTACTTTTAAGGGTTGATTAAAATAATATTGTTTGAAAGTTTTATCATTTGTCCCACACAAAAATATTCATGAGAAACACCTGACAATCAGTCTCCCAACGTGATTTCCCCCTTCATTTTAATTTTTTATTAAAATTTAAAGTGGTATTTAGTGAAATGTTTCTGTGTTCAGGGATAGCAACATTTGTGTCTCCATTGTTAAATTGAATTGTAATATTATGAAAAGGGTTTCTCTTGAGAAATAAGATTTGACAACAATGCATGTTGTAGCTCTCAATCTGTTTTCACAATACAATAAACCTGCCTCCACTCACAGTTACACCCTGTATAATCACATCAATTTTATTTCCGATAATTTTAGAAATAACTAAGGCATTTTCACAAACTAACACCTGGATCTTAAAAGCTGTGTTTAGATTTAAAAAAAATGAAAATATCTAATTTCTAACAACTTAATGCACAGAAAATACAAATTTTTAAATGTTTTTTTTAACTTTTTTCAAACATTGTTTTAAATAAACCAATACATTTTTTGAATAATAGTCAATGATTCTACTAATTGGATTAATATGATCACAGTTTCAAAAAAGCACTGCAACGAATATAATGAATAAGTAAAACTTACCTTTCCTCCATTGAAAATGCATATTCCACCATCCCGTCCATCAAAAATCTTATTCCTCTTCAAAGTGGGATTAGAATCTGTCTTGATCCAAACTCCTGCCATAGCATTATCAAAGATTTCATTCTGCTCCAGCAAACCGAGTCCACCATTATAAACTAACACTCCACCATTTTGCCCACCCCAGATCTTATTACCACGAATCACAGGATTACTACCGGTCCTGATCTGCACACCCGAGTACAAGTGATTGAAGATGTCATTGTCTTCCAACTTGCCGTGCCCGTTATCGTAGAAGTACACTCCAACCTGTTTGCCCGAGTGAATACGATTTCTGCGAAGCACGGGAGTGCTGCCCGTGGTGATCCAAACACCAGCAAGGGTGTTAGCGTACACCTCGTTCTCCTCGATCAGACCTTGTCCCTTCTCGTGGACATAAATACCACCATGCTGCCCATGGTGGATTTTGTTGTGTCGCACTATGGGGTCACTATTAGTCCTTATCTGAATGCCCGCCAGAGCGTTGCCGTAAATGTTGTTGTGTTCGATCAGTCCTCTACCCTCTCCGAAAATGTAAACCCCACCCTGGTGACCGTTGTAAATTTCATTACGCCGGATCGTCGGGTTACTGTTAGACGTAATCCAGACACCGGCAAAATTGTTCGAATGTATTTTATTGTCTATGAATTGGCCGAGGCCATTCTCATGCACGTAAATTCCACCAGTCTGACCGTGGTGGATTTCGCAGTGCACCACTGTCGGATTGGCTCCCGCTTTCACCTCAAATCCGGCTATACGGTTGTTATGAATGTCGTTAGCTTCGAAATACCCCTAAAAAAAAATATACTGATATATTATTTTAATTAATTCATTCATTTAGGCAATTTTTGGGAAATTTGCTTATTTTTGCAAGTTCTGTATCCTCTTGAAAATATTTAATATCACTTTGTATTGTTTACAATACATAAAAAAAAAAGTATAAATATTGAGCAATAGATACAGTGAGTTAAAAAATTACTAGAACAATTTTTGCAATATAAATAAAATAACTTCTATAATCTAGGCAATGTTAAATTTAAATATTGGATAAAAAATAGTGAGAAAATTAACTTTATCAGTAAAAATATCACATAATTCTTAGATTTCAAAATGCTACTGATAAATAATGATTGGAAGTACAAAATATAAGAAGACACTGTTCATGTAAACGAGAGAATTTTAAATTTACAATATTAATAACACTTTTTTGTATAGAATCAAATATTAGTTTTATCATGACAGAGGCATAATAGTTTTTATTTTTTCTCTCTTCAATGCCATATTGGATTTTCATAAATTTCAGTTATGCACATATTAATGATCATCATATAAAGTTTACTTTTTTATTTTTGTTGAAATATGAAATTATCTGCTTTGAAAATTAAACATATATTAGCCCAAACGAAATTTTGACAGATCTGTAGAATATCCATGAATGTCAATGTTTAGAAAACTAAAAATGCAAGTTAAACATGAACTAATCAATGAATAAATTTTAACCATCTACAAATTTCCACACAAATTCATACATTTTTCGAGTATTTCTGTGAGAGGGACAAGTCCAAGTCTGCCAACAAAATTTCACTTACCAGTCCATTATCAAAAGTAAATATGCCAACATCTCTGCCATGGTGAATGTGATTACGCCTCATAATAGGATTTGCGTAATTCTTCACCCAAATGCCAGCCAAAGCATTCCGGCTGATCTCATTGTCCTCGTAAGTGCCTTGGGCATAATCAGTGACGTAGAGACCAACATTTTCACAGTCACTTATATCACAATGACGTATAACTGGATTTGCGCCCACTCCGCTGACGCAAACAGCAGCACCCACTAAAAAAAAATATATTCATGTTATGGGCACATATTTCTTTTATTTGCTTATTCAATAGTAATTAAAAAACTATAACTTTTTTCCACTATAATACTAAAGTTGAGAGCGTCAAGAAGCTCTCTGTCATTTAACTAAATTTAATAAAGGGATGTTGAGTAACTTCTCACTTTTTTTAACAGATGGCATTACCAGATAGTTTAAAATGGTAACGCACCTATAAAGAAGTGCTATAAGCAACCATGAAATTCTGTATGTTATTTCGTAGAAGTGTCCTTTTTTTTCATGTTGAATTTCGTGCCGAAAAATGAGTATTTGCGGGGAATTTTACTCCACTCTACATACAAAATAAATCTGCAGCCGAGGCACACAGAATTCTTGTTGAGACTAACGGCGATCATGCTCTGTCACAAGCAACATGCAGATTGGTTTAGGCGTTTTAAAAATAATAATTTTGATGTTGAAGATAAAGAATGCTCTGGCACACCGAAACAATTTGAAGATGAAGAATTGGAGGCATTACTTCATGAAGACTCAGGTCAGACGCTACATGAACTTGCAGAATTACGAGTTGATCACTCAACAGTTTCAAAACGTTTTAAGGCATTAGGAATGTTTCAAAAGCAAGGACATTGGGTGCCATACAAGTTGAAACCAAGAAAAAATCGAACGGCTGTACGTGTGAACAGCTGCTTCAACGCCAATTGACTTTGGACTAACATTTGATTAGGGTCCTAGTTACTGATTTTTCTTTGACTGTTTTTTAAACACCAACTTATAAAAATTAAATTTACTTGGCGCCCAAACCAGTCCGCCCCTGTGAAACTCGGATACAGTTAAGGTACTGTATAATAGAGATCAGTAGCGACATTAGTGAACTGGCAACAATGTTTAGGAAATTTTAAATTTTTTTATTAGTCGATTAAAATGTGGTAATTTTGAATTTTTTTTTAAGTTTTAAGGATGTGAAGAAACGGTCTGCTTTACGTATTTTTATAACATAAATATTCACTTACCCACTGATGTGCTTCTTATAATGCAATGATCTATAGTAGGGCTGCAATTCTCCCCAACTTCCAAGCAGTAATGTTTGTGGTGTGGCACAGTGGATGTCACATCTGGGGAAAATTTCAGAGTAAGGTGGCCTGCATAGGCATTTTTAGCACCTTCGACAAACATCACTGTGGATTCTGATTCACGTTCCAATATGACCGATTCAGCCACATTGCCAGGTGCGGCACCTAAAAGAGAATACATTACGTACATCTTGTGTGAACTACTGTTAAAAAAAATGTAAAAATGAAAACAAAATATATATATATATATAAACTAGAAATGGGCACGTTTCGGAAATGTGTTATGGACATATCCGTTGGATATGTCGATGAAATGTCCGGACATGTTGGGAAAAGTACTTTTGACCTTGAATCTAATAAGGCACCTATGAGTGACGTCATGTTTTCATAGGTCACTGCTTGAGAGTACACAGAGCAAAATATTACTTTTATTCTAATGAATATGTGTCAATATATTTTACTTATTACCTACCTTTAGACTTTTTTATAAACTGGTTTCTAATTTTCCCCGGACAGCCAATAAACGTATTTAAATGTTTTTCCAGTTACCCCACGTTGGGCGCCAGTGTAACGCAATATAGGTTTTATTTAACAAATATGATGGTACAGTGGGTACATAAAAGATTTACACTAAAATATCTCAACACAAGTACAGTGAACATCAACTAATATATAAATTGTACACAAAAAACAGGTATCTTAGTTAAGGAATAAAACAAGATACGAAAATAGTAAATGTCCTAGTGGGTTATAAAGACAACCTAGATAGAGGGCTCTTTTATTTCCCGTCTATCTACATTTTTAGACAAATAATTTTTGGTTTTTATTTTGGATAATTGTTTACCAGCTATTTACTAGTTTGTTAGTGTAATTCAATGCTAGTTAGGATATTTAGTCCTCAGAGTAAAGAATCTGTCTATGGGGTTAGATTTTTGCTGTCGAAGAATGTTTAACTGATTTGGTTTAATTAGTTTGATTCCATCACAATAAAGTAAAAAGATGAGAGCTAATAAAAAATATGTTTTTTAAAAAGTAAAAAACCATTGGAAAATAAAGGTAAAATAAAAACTCTAATTAGGTACATTCTTTCCTAGTTAAGCCTCAAATTTTTCAAATTGCTCTGATAGTTTTAAATCTAGTGATCTATTAGGTATGTATCAATTCATTCGTAGTAAGACATTACTTATGAATCGGTTTATACCTTGTAATCTTGTTATTCGTAGCATCAGTTTTAGTTGTTAGCAGGGAGACTAGATAAGGAGCACGAACTCATACGGGAAAATTGACAGAATTTGTCAGTGTAATAGTAGAAATTACTTAGTTTTTACCGTTCGCTAGTGTTCCTTATACATCGACATATTTTCATTATTTATTGATTTATTTATCTAATTCAAAGTAGCCTACATTATTTATTTTAAAATTTTGTAACACATCACAAAAGTGGCATGACTGATTTTTAATTCAAACTGCCACTTTCTTTTTCTCCCCTCCACTATTTCAGTGCATACCGGATACTAGCGCCCTCTAATTTGGTAAAATATTTGTTTACATGGAATTTGTGCTCCTTGTGTAGTGTCCACGGTTGTTAGGGTAACTATTTTGATATTAGGAAGCATGTAAAATAATTGAAAGATATTAAAGAAACAACCAATGAAACTTAAAATGTCTAAATGCCTAAACCAATGATGTGGCAACCAGCCCAAAATTTTGTTAAATTTGTAATCAGAACATCATTGGCGCAATTTTATCAGTAGAATATTGCAATACCTTAAAAATTGTAAAAGATTGAGAAAAGTCTCTCAAATGCTTTGATAAATATAATTTACAACAAGAGAATAAACTGGCTTTTTCCATAAACAAAAAAAAAAGTATTATTTCCTGAGTTGGATATGTTATTTTTTCTTCTCAAATATACTTTTAAGGTTAATGTAACCCATTTATGGCTGTTGCTTATAAGCAACAATGCACTAATGATTTATGGGAGCATTTTTGATTGATGAAATATATCATTGATGCAAGGTTCAATAGATGTCATAAGATCATATTTGTAACAATTTGTATATATTTTTGGAATATATCCAAAAAGCCAGATTTTTATTATTCAAATTCTTTTAAAATGTATCATATTCATGTTCTCATTTTCAAAGTTACAATTCTCGCATTTCATCAAATATATTTCAAATTACAGTATAAAATTCAAATACGAAGTCTAGCTAAAGCAGATTTTTCCTAAATAGATAAACACGCAACAGCATAATTTGTTGTGTTCTCACATCACTGGCCCTGTAAGTGAATTCCCAGAAGTCTCTATTCGAATTTTATATTGGAAAAAATGGTATAATTTCTTAAGTACAGAGATAGTTAGCTTTAGAGGAGGCAGTACGTAAGATTCATGATAAAAATGGTAAGTATATTGAATGTTTTCTTAAACTTATTATTTTTCTTCCGTTACACATTATTCCACATTTTGTATTTCGAGAGCAAATCGATGGTCCTCTAGACAAGGAAGATTTTTAGAGTACGGTTTTTATAAGGAGTCGTAACGAAAAAAATTTGGCAACAAAATGTCGAAGTCACAAAAGAAATGCAAACCAACTTGGAGATCTGGTCAATTTGTGCACCAAAATTTACCTGTATTCAGAGAAGAGGTACAAATTTAAGATTGGGTATTAGTCTTTAGATGTGGACAAAACTGTAAATATTGTCACAAATTTCATGAGAAGGGATAAGTCAGATCAATAAAGCAACAACCTGGATAAAACTGACAAGCAAATGGTTCGTTATTTTGAGTACCCGATTTAAAATTTGGTGCATTGTTCTTCGAGTGGATACTTGTACAAGCTCATTCCTCACGTGAAGCAGAGAAGAACATTTACCTTTGACTTAGCGCAAGTGTAGTTCTTGATCTTTTGCCAATTGTGAAAAATGTTTAAAATCATCTTTGATAACTTTTTTTTTTCATATCTCTTGAAAACTAAAGGTTTTTTTGCCACAGGAATGAATCGTGAGAACAGAACAAATAATTGCCCTTTTTATACCAAGCAAAATTATTCTCAAAACAGAGGGGTCCTACAGTTCTACCAAAATTCCATTCATTTTGTTCCATCCAATATTATATAGAACCTTTTATATCTGCCAAAAGGTAAAACATCTAAGGTGATGTTACTTTTAGAACCATAGTCATTCTTCCAGTCTTAATTTCAACACATATAATAAATACATACACTTGCATGATAATGACTTGGCAAATTATAGATCCCGGGTGATGTACACTATTTATATAAATGCAATTGTCAGTACTGTTGTAAATTCATATAAACTCTACACTGTAGAATGTGCAAAATGGTGGATCAACATAACACAACTGAATTTCAAATGATTCATAGCATTCTGGCTCCAAAAATTAAATAAAGCTTTGTTGCAAAGACATTTCCATCAGAACAATCCAATACAGTGAGGGTTGATCAATATATACATATTATCAGTAGAACTCTCGAAGATGATGTGGGTGCAGAAATGAAGCAATTTATATTTGTGACCATTGCACGATTTATTTCCTCTCCAATTATTGTTTCTGGAAATACCACTTAACACTATAGGCCATTAATGCAACGTATATGCAACACCATTACACGAAATTTATTTATTTTTCTCAATGACGTGTTATTGCAATGTTTTTTATAATAAAATTAGATTTTTAAGTCTTACTTTTATCCATGGCTGTAAATAAGTTAATTCGAAATAAACTATAATACAAGCAAATTATTATTTTTTAGTTGTTTCCACATTAGAGTGGCCCAAAAAAAATGAATATTTTTTTCGTGTTTCTTGTGAAAATATGTCAGTTTATCATGTTTTAAGAGCCCCCTCAAAAAATCAGCTCAAAAAAAATTTTTTAGAGGTCGCCCAAGATTTTTAAAAATTTCCAAAAATCATCCAAAATTGAATTTTTTCTTTCTTAATTTTTTTTCTCGTTATTTTATCATTTTCTAGGATAAAAAAAATCTCGATTCTGAAAATTTCAAATCTATATTTTAATTTCTAAAGGTCACTCATAATTATTTTAACTTTCAAAGTAGTGTACCTGTTTTCAAGCGACCTTTAAAAAATAAATATCAACAAACATCATTTTTTTTTATTGAATTTGATTAACAAAATGACCAGTGGTCATCTCTGTTTTCGTCGTTTGGCTTTTCTTTAATAGATGTCACTACTTATACAATTTCAACTTCGGTATTCTGATATGTTAATACCATCCGTTAACAGAGGGCAGCACAACGTGTAACAAAGAAAACTTTTTACAGTAGCTTGTAGATACCTCCGTTTGTAAATCTAGTGACCTTGTTTCCCCTACTGAGAAGTTATTTAAATGGAGTATAGTGCTCAGCTGCATTTAAAGTTCATTTAGTTGTTATTTAAGTATACTTTTTAAAATGACTTAAAAATCCCAAGAAATAAAGCAAAATTCCCTCCTATTTCCCCAATTCCAAAAAAAATTGTAGATCTGGCATCACTCTTTCTAGGGCTGCACCTCACCTTAGACAAATTGTGCTGCCCTCTGTTAACAGATTGTATTAACATATCGGAATACGAAGTCAGAATTGTATAAGTAGTGACATCTATTACAGAAAAGGCAAACAACGAATACAAAGATGACCACTGGTCGCTGAATTACAAGTGGAAGTAGATCTTATTTGTGGAAGAGTGAAACGGGCGGTGACTATGAGACGCATTCATTATAGCCGTCCTTCTCTATCGCATGGATTTCTATGACTTACTTTATCGCTCTCACGTAACGGCCGATGAACCATAGGGACTTTCCGACCCTGTATATAATTGACCCAAAAGAACTTTCTTATGCAAATGCGGCCTGCTTAATAATAATATGCCGCCTCCACTCCTGCACAAGTCTCCGACTTCTGGGCTAATTCTCATGGTTAGAATGAGGAGTAGAGATATTATTATTATATTATTATTATTATATCTACTAAGCCATGAGAAAATCGTTATTTTCATAAATATGAGTGGAAAAAAATAATTTTTGAAATAATAATGGATTATTATTGCTTCAAAAAAAAAAAATTAAAGTTAATATCATGTAAAAATTACTGAAGACTTATAGAGTAAAGAAATGTACTAACCTATTAAAGCTATGTCAGAGTCAATAACGAGAAATTCCCCACGATAAGTACCCGCATGGAGGAATATTAAGGCACCCTGGGAGGAACCTTCTGTAGAGTGGTTGCTGCATGAACCAGTCACCGATCCTGTGGTGCTATTGGAACCACTGCGTTCATCGGTGTAATCAAGAGCACCCTACAAAAATGTACTTCAATTTCTTATTCAAAAATGTCATTAAGTATTTGTAGGTATGTACGATAAACACTTACCTGTACCGTGTTAAAATACACAAGATTTCGACCTTTAAAAGTGATATCCTGGTAACCAAATCTAACATGTATGCCACGATACAACTGCCGAAAAGATTCTTTCCAAGGATTGGCTAGTTCCGACTCTTCTGGACTGATAAACTCGAACCGGCAAGGAGCAGGATTAAATAGAGGCAAATCATATTCGTATACACTTTGGTAGAGCCGTTTCCTAAATTTCAAACAAAAAAATTACGAAATCTAAATCTTGTATTTGTTACTAACTACTGTAATTCGTAACATTGTTTTTTCTTACCAAATTTCAGTGTCATTGGCAATAGCTTGGAATCGTTTGCAAACTTGACTGACCCGACACAAGTCTTGTTCCAGTAAGTAATTAAAAATCGTAAGTAATACCTCATCGGGCAACTCATATTGTAAATAGTGGGCAGCAGTGTTTGTACAATCTGGAAAGAACAATGTAAAAATTCAGTCGTAATAGATGCAACGCCTTTTTTTATTGCAAATTCTATCAAATAAATTTTTTGTCTGCAAATATTTCATTTTCAAAATTCAGAATAAAATTAAGAGCAGCATAAATACTTTATTTTGTTTGTAGACCAAGTAATTATTTGAATTATTAGCAAAATGATAACTACAAACTAAATTTGAATAAAAAATGTTTCTAATATTTGCAATTAAAAAAATAAACATGCACTTCCAGACACAAGTTTAGAATAACTTTTTTCTTAATGCATGACATACAAACTGCTATTAATATAAGGCTGGATATTTTACATACATCCTATATTATATGTAGATTCTAACAAAAAAGTATTTGGAATTTATCATTTAAGAATTCCGCGTAAAGTAGGTTTAATATTCTTTTTTAATGGAAAGTTGGTAGCACTGTAGTCTTCTCTGCGACGAAGTTTGCGAGCGATCTGTCAAGCAGTTTGTTTGCAGCTGTTAATTTTGTTAGTACACCTAAAGTGTGTTCCACGATTTTTACTATGGATAATGTTACTGAACAAAGAGTTTATCTAAAATTTTGTGCTACCAACAGAATTTCTTGTACTGAATCGTTGAAAATGTTGGGATAGAGGTACAGTAATTCAGTTTTATAGAAAACGAATGATAGAATGCATTCGAACATGGTCGAGAAGTCGTCCCTCAATGGCTTCAATTTAAGAAAACATTGATAAAGTAAAGGAAATGGTGCTTGCAGACTGTCATTGTAGTTTAAGAGAATTGGCGTATGAACTAAACATATCACACAAATCAGTTCAGTTCGTATCATTTTAGTTGCTATTTCGAGTATGAAACGTGTGGCAGCATGGCTGGTTCCAAAAGAGCAAAATTTTCTTCAAAAAGAGCAATGGAAACATGTTGCTGACGACATGATTGAACGAGCTAATTCGGACACTACATTTAACACATAATGGATGACTTAATGGGTTTAAATTTGACATGCAAACAAGCCAGCAAACTTCAGAATGGCACATTTCTAATGAGCCTAAACCAACTGAACCAAGTCAGTCAATCAAAAATCAGTTATGTTAACTATTTTCTTTGACTATCATGGTGTTGTCCACACATAATTCCTTCCGATTGCAGAAACAGTCAACAAAGAATATTATCTGGGCGTTATGAGGCATTTGCGAGAGAGTATCCGCCACAAAAGACCAGATTTATGGAAAAACAATTCTTGGATTTTGCACCACGATAATGCACCATCACACAAAGCAAAAATTATGAATTAATTTTTGACCAAAAATTCAAGGAATGTCATCGAACAACCACCCTACTGACTTTTTCCTGTTTCCCAAACTCAAATTACCATTTCATAGAACACGAGTTGATAGAAGTCATAAAATAAAAATTGTGGAGGTGTTGAAGTCCATACCAGAATATGCGTTTAAAAAGTGCTTTGACCACCATGTTGTTTGTTGAAAAAAGAATATTGCTTCAAATGGAGCCTACTTTGAAGGAGCAGAATAAATTTTGATTAATTGAATACATTGTGTTTTATTGACAAATTCCGGATACTTTTTTGATAGAATGTATGTTCTGTATGCTTGCCTTAGTCATCGGATTTATACAAAATATGACTATTACAACCAATTAAATTAAATGAAAGTACTAAATAATCCCACAAACTAATAATTATGTATATTATGTTCAACAACTTGTATGCATTCTTGAATAAAAGAAATTAAAATAACTATTCAGACAATTTATGTATCTTTATTGTCTTTATTAATAGTTGCATTATTCATTCAATATCTAAACCAAATTCATAGAACTATATCATAAAAATATATAAGATAATCCAATAACAATGTTTAAGTTTTAGGAGAAAAATAAACACTGTTTCTGCATTACATGAATTCTTTTTTACTATGCATTATACTGCATTAATTATTGTTAAATCTTCTTTAGGTTTTGATGACTGAAGAAAATAATACAGAAAAATATAAATTAATAGCCTATGTTTTTTTCTTAATTAGTAATTTCAATGTTTTTGAAAGACCACATATTAAATGTTATAAAAAATAACTTAGCTATAAAAAAAATCAATATATGTATTGTAAGATATTGACTGAATAAACTTAAAACACAAGTGAAAATAACAAAAGACATGATTATAAAATAAACATTTAAAATATTAAAATCTACCAAGAAATCTTATTTGAAGTTCTCTGAAATGTTGCCAAATCGCACTTATATTTAGAATTTTTTTCTATTATTTCCCTGGTTCGCATAATAAACTAATGAAAAGTAATGAAGAACACCTGTTATTATATCCTGAGAAACATACATTTGGGTTTTTAAGGTGCATACACCATGGGAATACCCAATTATCATGAGTTACTAGAATTTTTAGAACATAAGATTAATAAATACAGGGTGTTTCCCAGGTAATTTGAAATATTAGACAGGCGTGATTACCCATATTATTTTTAGAAAAAAGCTAGGTATATACAGGGTGTTACAGATAGACCTTCAATTAGACGTTTCTGGAAAACTACGCGTACTGGAATTCTGAAAATTTATGTACGAGGGTTTTTCCTAATGTTCTATCGATTAAAAATATTGGCGTCGCCGTGGAACTTCCGAACAATTGGTCCGTGTTTTTTAGACGCCCTGTGTAACATGTACCAACTTTCGAATATTCCAGATATTTGGACACGTTTTGGTATTGACCATCTAAAATTTTAGCTTCCTATCTTAAAAATTGGAGGAGATAGAACCGATTAAGTGTAGGTATGTTTTTTTAAAAAATTTTGAAAAAGTGAAAATATTTCAAAAACGATTGAGTTTAAGGATAAAGTAAGGTTATGAAACTTATCTTAAAATTCGATGTAGAATCCAAAAATTAAATAAAAAATAGTACATTCCATTTGAAATAAGCGAGTTGACGTCTACTTCCGGTAGAACCGGAAGTTCCACGGCGATGCCAATATTTTCAATCGATAGAACATTAGGAGAAACTCCCGTACATAAATTTTCAGAATTCCAGTACGCGTAGTTTTCCAGAAACGTCTAATTGAAGGTCTATCTGAAACGCCCTGTATAAACATCAACAAAAATTTTTAAAATACATAGACATCATGGAACGTGGATTTAAATTTTTTCTAATTTTTATTGCAAATTTCTTAAGAAATTTAAATCTCATTGTATTAAAATGAATGCTAATTCAATTTAACTAACCTATGTAGGTAGAATATGAATTAAAAGGATATTTTTAACAATTTTTTTCATCTAATTAACACATATTTGAAAAAAAAATTAAAGAAACCATTACTAGCTTTGTTCGATGGAACACATAGAATTTCTAAAATGAAAATTTGAAACATTACTCACTCTCATAGGTGGCAGAGCAAGTGCGGCGGGGCCTCTTCCTAGCAGGTAGCATGGCCGCAGTGTACCCCTGAGCGGGAGCCGTTGGGGTGGCTGGAGACGTAGGAGACCCAGCCGTGGCAGCACTTGTACTTGGCCCAGGCCCGTCGTGGTGGGAGGGTGACTTCCTTCTTAAATCGTATGGCGAGTGGTGTGCGGGAACTGCCCCTCCGCTAGTGCTAGAGCCCGGAGGAGCCAAAGCCTGAGGCCCCCCGGGGGCTACAGCGGATGGGGCCGGAATGTTCTGGTTTGGCTGGATTGGACAGGAAGGCTCACATGGTTCTGCTGTAAAAAATGTTGATGATTAAAAATGCATTACACCGGCACTTGTTTTTTTGCTACTTATACATAAGTATATGCAGAAAAGTAATTCGTTTTATAATGTAGCTCTTATCAATGATGAAGAGAAATAATTTTAGTCAAAAATTCTTATAACTTTCCAATAAATGTACATAACATGTATTTTTGTCAATGGAATGATAGATTCATTTTGGTTTTGTAAAGTAAAAGCTATTAAGGATATTTTAATTACTACCAATCACCTAAATCAAGGTATCCTTATTATTTCTTGTTTGTTTTGGCAAGTTTTTGAAAGTATTTCAAATATTCAAATTAAGGTTGTGTTGAATTCTTATAATGTACAGATGGTAAAATTCTAAAATTAATAATCGGAACCCTTATTAGAATCTACCTAAATCTCTATATTCTGGGTTATAATTACTATAGGTAGTAGGTATGTACTTAGTTACATGTATTTAACTTTATGACCTAAAATCCAATATTTGCAGTTTTGACAATTACAATTTTTAATATGGCAGACCGTAATTTTTTTGTACCTACAGATAGCATAGGTACTATATAAAAATTCTTTAAGTTATAGTAGTAGTTAAACATGGTTATAGTAAATAAAAATATATATTTCCTATAAAGGTGTACTTAGTATCTACCTGTAGTATCTAGGTACTTGTTTTATGTTGCATATTTGCCACAAATTCATATATTTTTGCTAATAACAAGATATCAAATTCTTAATTGTATGATGTATTTTTGCTACACTTAAATCTTTTTCAGTTAATTAAATTAAATTTATTTGTTTGATGTATATTTAAGTGGAATTTTTATTACACAGAGGAATATTTATTATTAGGTTTCCTTATCAGATAAATATCAACACTTAATATTTGTATCGGCTACATAACTATATTTTATTAATTATATCATACAGTTTAATTCATTTTGAAAAGTTTTTTGTTTTGGAAATATTTGAAAACTGGCTGTAGGTATCTAATCAGGTTACTAGATCAACAAAGGGAATTCCATGTTCACATTATGAGTTTCGATACAATTTGTAGCGAATTAAAAAGAGAAATTATATTGAAAATACAAATATATTAACTTTTTATTATATTTGAAAGTATTCAGTTGGTGTAACATCAATAAAGTTAATGTTCTCACTGAGAAGTTATGACAAAACAGGAAAAGGAATAAAAAATCATCACATCCTGCTGGTCAATAAAAATTACACATTACACCTACTTTGGAAAATTTATATAATTTTATCAATATTCCATCGAGTCAAATTTGGGTTTATTCCCCGGCTATACTTATCTTTATCTAGCTATGTAGGATGCCCTGTTATTTTTATGTATATTATATTGGATGACATTTCAAGTAATTCACAAATAAGTTAGGCTGTTCCCTATAAAAAACCAGTATAATATTCGTGAAAAACATATTTTTCGGTGTTCTTGGGTCCGCGCCAGAGCTCAATAAATATTTTTTGGGGCCAGACAAAAAGGCCTGGTTCATTTACAATAATCGGGTCGACTTTAACAATTTCTAGGCTAGCCAGGCTGCTTACCAGAAGTTGTTCTGGATGGTGTAGGAATCCTATTTGCCCCTTTTCTCCTCGATCTCCTCACGTACGACCTGGAGGCCGTAAAAGAGGCGCTCGGCATCTTCACAGTACACTCACTCACTTATTTTTTAAGTCCTAAACAAAGGAATCACTAGCACTACCAGCAGCAGCCATTTTTAGAGCAGTACGGTTCCAAGAAGGCATCCAGAGCGCAGGGCAATGCACTTGACCAATCGTTGCAGCCGAACCCGGTCACGTGAGCTTTAGAATGTCAGAATGGAGCAAGATATCAATGCAATTTTAAGTTGTTTTATTTCGATTTTTCTTTGTTTTATGTTATCGGTAACATATTTAGCAAGTATTCATGTGTGGAATAGTCCGTATAGTAGGTGAGTCTTAGTTTCGTAATTTTCCTTTACACCATCACAATTTCCAAAACAAAACTCACTGCAGACGGTAGACGTCTTTTACCCCTCGCACCTCACCGCTCCGCGCACCCTTCTACCGTCAACTTACTACCGTTCACTGTTTGCGGAGAACGGATCATGTAGAAATACCGTCGGAACAAAAAGTACAACTATCCTAATTTATAATTTATAATATTCACCCTACTTAATAGCAAGAAACCTGGTTTTTTACATTACCTACATAAAATTATATTGAATCCCTATAAGCACTGCTTCGCCCAACCTTATTAGATAGCTATAAATAGAATATAGGGGATATATATATAGGGGATATACCTAAAATTTATTTTTTTTACCTAGTTCGTAAAATAAGTATAAAATTACCAAACGTGTTTTAATTTATTTTCCTTATTTAAAAAATAAGAAAATGTCTTTAGAAACCAAAGCATATACCTACCTAGGTATTTCATGTCAATTTTTTCAGCATTTAGGCATATGGAAAAACAACGATCAATATCTACTGATTCTAGTACTAATGTATTTTCTAAGCTATTGGTTTGAATATTTTGAACAATGTATTTGATCACAAGAATTATAACTTTCACTTTGCGTGTATACCTATACCTATACTACAATATTATTTGATGTCACATTTTGTGATTTGGGTATGATTCTCTTAAAGAGAAGGTACCTCGGGGTTCTCATAGCTCTGGATATTATTTTTGTGGCTCACATTTATTCAAGAATCGCTTTTAGATTGATTTATTTATTATTATTATTCTGTTGTAATACTTATTACCATTACCTATACATATCTCCACGCATCCAAACTGTATGCATACATTTTCAATTAGCTACTTTCTTATTGTTGTCAAGTAAGAATGATAAAGGGAACAATTTTGTAGAAAAACTATGCATAAAATAAAATTGATTGAATGAAACCGTTTTACAAATTACACAATGTGTCACTGCTTCGGTGTTACAACCACAAAAGTACCTAGTGTTCTTTATAAACTTTCACAACCGCTTTTTGCTTAAAATTAGATAAATAATTACGTAAATAACGTTTATTAAAAAGGAGGTGCAGCGATTTGCATAATTGGTTTCAGTTACAATTTTTTTAACAAGGTTTAATAAATTTAAAAAACCTGATGAATATTGTAATAAATACCTACGTCACACGCTGTTTTAAAAATGTCCAAAGTGTATATTTTAGCTTCCTCAACTGCCTAAACAAGAAACAAGTCATAGGTATGTTAAAACTTGACATATAAGGGATGACGTTGTTGCTATATATTATTGTTTTTTCAATTATGGTTGAAACTCAGGCGATGAACTTCGAAATTCAGAGAGCGATTATTGCTTATGGCAATAATAAGAGTCCCAGAAGGATGTATCTACGCCAGGTGATCCACAAAAATAAAAGCAAGATTTGGCATTCAAGTCAAAGAAAGTTATAATTCTCTTTAACAATTTGAACCGTTTTATCTATTTTATTTTATGGGCTATCTAAGCAGGAAACTATATTTTGTCAATGTTAGCGAAGATATCCGTGCCCACTAACTACTTTTCGTTTCCGGTCATACCCAAAAGCTCTATTTCTATAACTAAGAAGACGAATTTAATTCGTAGATAAAAATGTGTAATATACATGGTGTCCCTAAAAGGTATTTACAACCCTCCACCAGATACAGTGTGGCTCAAAAATAAGTCGATTTAGCTAAACTTAGCTTAGTTCAAAGTTGCTCCGCTTGGGTGGTATACGGCCCTGAAGTTGCAATTTTGAAATCATTTGTTTTTATAAATTTAAAACGCCTACGCGATTTTGCTAAAATTCGGTAAGTTGACACCGCTCTATAGGACAATAAACCCTATATCAAAATTATAAGTCCATTGGCGTAGAACTTGAGTTTTTTTAGTAAGTACAACTTCCATAATTCTACGCCAATAGAAGAATAGAATTTTAAGTATAAAATATAGATTAAATTATTTGCTACAAAAAAGGTACTCTTACTAAAACTCTTACTCTCATGGTTTAGTCGAAATTTGTAATTTGTAATTTTAATCATTAGCAGCAATTTTGACACAAAAATTAAATGAGGAAAAAGTTATTACGTTTGTTCCTGGCATTCTTTAAATAAAAATTAGACTTTTTAACAAACACTATTATTTCGTTTCGGCGTATTCCATATGGTTTTTGTGTATTAGTTTTTATATTCAACATGTTCGTGTTGTGGATTCCAACAACTGCATTGTCATTGGTCTATTTAAGGTATGTTGATTTCTGATTGGTTAGATGGAATCCACCTACTCGTATAATAAAGTCAATCAATTTAAAAAATAATAAAGTCAATTAAATCAAAAAAGGCATAACTGATTTTTTTTTTACTTATTTAATATTGTTACAACTTTGCGAACGACGAAATAAGAGCTCTTAGATCGGCCACGTACCCGTAGTTCTTATGCGGAAGTTTTTAAACTCGTTCTGGTCGCCAAACGAACGACCTGCAGCATTATACGAGGGTTGACTGAAAAGTAATTAAAGTAATTCACACACGACCATACAATAACAAGAAAATTACCTACAGCGCTGCGCGCGGTGGCATAATAAATCTACATCCCCTCTACCAGTTTACATTTCGTTAAAATACCTTTACACTCTATAGGTTCCCATTCCGTTTTCATTGAAACTAGTATCGCTGCTTGTCAACGCCTGTGAAACAACGTACAGTAATCAAATTTTTTACCTCTGAAAATGTGAATCCTTCCGATATTTTTCGCCGGTTAAAAGCGGTTTATGGTGGTGATACTATTGATGGAAGTATGGTGAATCGATGAGTGATAAATTCGCAAATGTGAAACCGGTAAAGCGAATATTGAGGACGAAGCAGCGGACGACCGGTTTGATTCATCGTAAGAAAGTGGACAATTTGATTCGAAGTGACCATCGAATCACGCAACGGCATATTGCGACCCGTCTGGGAATGTCGAAAGAACAGGTAGGTCTATCACTGTAGGACTTGGCGATCGAAAAATTTGTCCAAGTGGGCGCCACTGAGGAAACGCTGCGCAGGTTGAAGTTCATGCCCCTTTCTTCACCCTCCCGATTTTTTTTTCACTTTTTCTTAATGTTGAAACAGCACTCAAGGGTAACCATTACGCCTTAGACGACGAGATTATGGAGGCAGTTGATGGAATGAAAAAACTTGTCACATTGGGAGAAATGTACATAAGTGTTAATGGGGACTATGTATAAAAATAAATACATCATTTTGAAGCTAAACAATTGAAGTTTCATTTTTTTTTGTCCTATCCCGATATCTCTTCTCGTTCCCCCTATACGGTCGTGTGTGCATTACTTTTCAGCCGACCCTCCTAGCATTTAGTTCACCACAGAGCGACTTTTTGGGTGATCTGGTATGACAACAACACGTCAGTTATTTCAGCACGTGTGTTACCTGGCGTATTACAGATCGAGTCTGAAATACCCAAGAGGGTATGGACAAGAATCCGTAAGTAGCCTTGAAGCGATGACATGTAAGGTATGACATAATATAATATACTTTGTAGGTTATGTCTCACCCACAACCCCACACTCATCAAAAGAGATCTGTAGATAGACATTCAAATAGCAAAATCGTACGTAGGTCGTCTCATATATGTGTGGCATACTATAATGAGGACGAGTAGGTTCAAATCGGAGTCTGCTGATGAATGTTGCTGCGGTTTTCTAGATATTGGGGATATAATTCAATGTTAGACGGGGTCCAATTTAGTTCGCAGATTAGTTGTTTTCCACAATGTCATTAGTTGAACAAAATCTTAGCAATTATTTCTTTATTTATACTTTGAGCACCTAGCTGTATCCAAATGCAATACATTTGGCCAATGATCAAGGGCCCGCTATGAAAATGAAGAATGGGGTATTTAAAGATCTAATATCAGTTTATCAATGTTGGATATTAACTTTAAGATTTGTCGAATCCGCAGCTTAAAAATCAAGGTTTGAAAGAGATTCCTTTGTAAAGTCCGTTTATCAAAAGATACCTATTTCAACTAGATTTAACTAAATTCCTTAGCAATAACCAATCAAATACCTCTTACCTTAGCGAACAAACGATTTAGTTAAATCCCGGTGAAACTATAATTGATAAGCCCGCCAATAATAAAAAATTATCAGAAGTAAAAAGAGCTGGATTTATTTGTACCAGATTTAATTTAAATTAGGTTGGTATGCTTTAATATGCGGCTTTATGGCACTCGTTTAGTTTTTTCGTAGAAGCTTGTTTATTTCAATAAACAATTTCGGATTAACCTAAAGGATAATCAACAGTTGATTATCAACTGTAATCATACCAATTGTATACCTACGTACCAGAAATATTTCTGAATAGATAAAATAGGTATCAATCATTTTTATGATTTACGCGCATTTTGCACCTGCAAATATTTGAGAATACTTTATATTCTTATTTCCGACCAAGAAACTTGTCTTGTTAACCTGGCATTGTATCTAAACAGACTACTAATTTTAAACTTGTTTACGGCGCCTTTCTTCACTTTATTTTTACAGGCAACCACTGACAAAAAAACCTGACGAACGAAATAAGGAAAGCTGGAAAGAAATTGAATAGCAAAAGCCACTTATACGTAAGATGTGACAATAACAAAATATATTTAAAAATACCCACAAACCTATCCACCGATATATTTCCAGATCGATGTATGAAAATTATTATCTCTCATATTGTATTTGTACAGTAATAAAAAATTGGTGGTCCTTGCTCCTACAGTGAGTTAAAAAATTGATATGTCAATTTATTTAACAAGAGTTGATGAAATCATTTTGCTCGATGCGTACTTTAATTTGCAACTTCCTATTTCCTCATAATTTGCCTTGAGAATTAAAAAAATTTCTTTTATTTCACTTTCACAAAAATAATTAACAGTGTCTCCAAAAATTAACAAATGACATTTTGTGTAGAGGACGACAATATCTTTCCAGATGAGTATTATTTGACCTACCTTTTTCCATTTTAAATTTTTGATGTGGGAGTTGTCGGGAGTGGAAGAACATAATCAGGATTTCTCAAAATAAAAATTAATCTAAGTAACGAATTATTTTAAAACTCGCCCTAGCCACAAAATTACGTAAACACTGTAAGTAAAAAAATTCAATACCTACATATGTGTCTATTTAGATATACTGTTGAAGAGTATTTTCTAATTTCCATTATGATTTTTTTATTGACAGACCAGCCGATTTAATTTTTATGTAATATTACTAATATTTATTATCTAGACGGCCAACTGAGCGTGGCCGGACAACTTAATTTTTGTTAAACATATCCGGTTCCTGTTCCTTATAACTGCGGATATGATACACATACTGCTCTGTCATAAATATTAATTCTGCCGTTTGCGGATTTTGTTAATAAACTCACCGAAAAACTAGGGAGTTTTGCAACCTAATTTTTTATTGTACATACATATTTGTAACGATTTATAAATTTATCTGCAAACCTGTTTGGAGTATACAACTTTTGTCTATTTGTCCAATTGGAATAAAGCATATATTTACTTATAGTGTTTGAGTCTGTAAAGGATTTCCGAGTTCTTTATACTAAAAATATTAAAATAAATGAAAGAACCCCGGAAAAAAAACGTAAAATAACATGTTATAGCCGCTCCAAACACAAAATTTTTAAAACGCTCGTTGACTCCGACATATTGAACAGTGTAGGGCATTCTTTTTAGTCTGTTGCTACGCCCAATCTATTGATTTTATGCGAAAAAGTGTAGAGCAAATATAATATTATTCATGGGCCGTATACAGAAAAACGTCAGAGATATTGTTTTTATAATTTGTGCAATTGCTTTTACAGAAAACATTTTTACACGTTTTTAGGCCAAAAAATGTTAAAAAAGACGTTGAATCTATCAAAGTCCTGCTATTAAAACTATAAATAAATCCTTTTTTAACATAATAATATGAATATTTAACTACTTTACCAAAAAAAAAACAAATATTTGCGAAAACTTTTATATATTTTATATTTCCTCAATTTGTAGACCTATGTAGTTTTTTAATAATGGTTTAATATGTTAACAAAATCTTAAATATAATATTTTGTTTTCTTTTTTAGAGATCATCCAGAAACGATTAAGAAAAGATTCATTAGCGCATTTGTAATGCTATTTATTGCTCCATGTTTTCTATATGTAGGATTAAATAAAGAAATTTTGGAAAAGGTGCAGAGATATGTCAAATTTTTAATACGTATTAAAATAACAAATTAATGTTTTAGGCATCTTTTTTCCATATATTAGGATTAAGAACACAAGGACTATGTCAGGCTATTTTTATGCCACTGTTTTTGACAATGATTCTATTTTTGGGGCCTATTTCTATGGAGTTGTATAGTGGTTTATCTAAGTTGTATACAGGTGAGTAGTAAGTAAATACATATTGCATCCTTATTTGTCATCAGGTCATCAGTTTCAAATAAAACTTGTAGCTCAAATATTTTTCTGGAATATTTATTTTTTTAATATAGGATACAAAGAAGTATTAATATTTCATGCTGTCTAAGAGTTACAACATGTGTATTTTTTTTAGAAGAAATGTATTGGTTTTCGAATATGACCAATCTAATATGGATCAGAAATCACATAGCAGCCCCATTATCAGAGGAATTCACTTACCGTAGCTGTATGCTGCCATTGTTAGTGCAATGTTTCAAACCTTCCACAGCAGTTATAATCAACCCTTTGTTTTTCGGGGTTGGTAAGCATATCTTTTAAAATACAATAGTAAAATCTTCTTCTCTTAATTATCAATAATATGTTACAGCCCATTTCCACCATATGAGAGAGAGGATTAATCACATGGGAATGGATTTTAACACTGCATTAAAAATTTCATGTGAGTATATAACTTTTAGGAATCTAAATCACTGGATTTTTTTATTCTCACAGCAAGATGCATTTTCTTTGTCTGTATTGTGTTAAACACGACACTGAGATAAAATTGATTGACAAAAACTATATCTCGATATGTTAGTAATATGTTTTGTATTTTTTTGTAAAGAATTCTTTTTTATTCACATTTTTGTATAGAATCTCGTAACATTTGTTTAAATTTAATAAATACTAATTTTTACACAAAACGTTTTTTTGATAAATATTAAAAAGATATAGAAAAAAACTGAAAAAAGTATTTATGAAAATGATATTCAAAATCATAAAAAAATGTATTTTAATTAATTTTTGTCTGCCCCCTCGAGAAAATGGATACTTTCTCTAAAACTATAACCCATTAATGTATTGAAAAGGTAAAATCAATATTTCAGTATAATCACATTTTCACCAAGTGCACTTAAAATTAATTGAATTAGCTACACAATGTTTGATTTTTTTTATTCTAGGCTTCCAATTTGTCTACACAACGATATTTGGCATGTATTCTGCATATTTATTTTACAGAACAGGGCATTTTATCTCCCTTTTTATAGTGCATGCCTTTTGCAATCATATGGGATTCCCCGAAATTATGGAAATAAGGAATTATAAAAAAAATAAGAAAGTTGTTGTATCTAGTCTATTTTTAATTGGATTTTTATCATGGTGTATTTTACTAAATCCATTGACTGAACCAAGTTGGTATCACAATAAACCGATTTGATATGATGTGAGATCATTTGTCGTATATTAATCTATTTATTGTTGCAAAGTCTGATAGAGTACAAGAAATGTTAAATTGTTAGCTTTCTGACATTCTTATAAAAATTTACAATATTTTAGGTAGGTATATAGCAAATAAACCAAATATAAAGCGTTTACGTTATTATTGACTATAATATCCAAAATTTATAATAATAAAATAAATCAATTTGACTTAGTAGACTTCTTTCATAATTAAATAAGTTAGACAATCAAAAAAAAAATATTTTTTGGTTGCTGTAGCCGTTATAGAATTGTACAAATTAGGTATGTATTTATGGAGATTAAATATCAATATTGTCAAAATTATTAACCAAAGCAAGAAAAAAAACGCAATTCAAAATGTTCATTTTTCTATTAAAATCTACTCTGCAAACTTAGTGTCCTTACTGTATTTTTCCCTTAAAAAAATTTAGTAAACATCTTAGTATGCAACAAAGTTTGATGTTGACTTGCCATTTTGTTACCTCGGACTTTGTTGGCATCAGTAAGTGTAGCCTTGTCATTTGATGCTGCGAATCACATTGCCTTCTATAAAATTTGTACACACAAAAAAATATATACGTGTCACTTCACAGGATGATCTGGACACCAAAATGACAAGATTTCACTTTCTTTGTGTACATGTTCAACTTTATATTTCTGGCTTATTCTAATTAGTGTATAATATGTTACAATAACCCACTGACAAAATTCAACAGGTGATAAAATAGTTCGCATGAACTTATAGTCTGTAAACGCTTTGTTTTTGACTCATGGTTTTAAGATTTTATTATTTTCTAATTATTCTCATTTACTTTACACCTTTTTTAAGATAATCCATTTAAATTTGGTTATGTTCAACATTGAGAACTGATGGAATGGACAAATTACTGTTTGATACAACCAAGGTGATACTTTTGTCTCCTCTTAACTCTTTCATCCTCCCTCCTACTCTCTCAGAAATCAGTAATTTTGAAAAAAACACTTGTTATATTTACACTATTGGAAAAAATTAAGGGGACAAAAAAAATCTGAAATTTTTTAGCGATTTTTACAGGCTGTATCTCAGTGAAAAATATGGTCGTATCGAGATAAAAAAAGCAGTTTGAAGTTCCAAGTCTATAGTTTAAAGATCTTTTGACAAAAAAATTTTTTGAGCTCTGGTTATTGCGCAATTATAGGAAATAGCACAAGAAAAAAAATTTCCAATTTTTTTAATTTATTTTTAAGGATCAGGAAAATGTTTTTCACTTAGACTGATGCATAGGTCAGTTAGCTGATTATTCAGCTTCAGATTGTTTTTTTCTCTGCTTGTAAATTTTTTTTGTTAAGATATCTGGCTTTAAATGTTTTTGATCATCAATATCTCAGTAACTAATGACCGCACATAGTAAATTTAAGGGTGGTTTGGAAAACTTGAATTTTTCTACAAGGACCTTTCATGGTTTTTTCGTCATAATTTAAAAAAGTGCAAAAAAAATACTTTATGGTTTTTTAGAATGTCTACTGCTAATTTACAAATGTTGAGGAAAAGATTAATGTTGAGAGACATTTTTACAGCCCAGTGTAGCCACAATAACCTTGTAGATTGACAAGGTGATCTATTTAACCGTTTTTTTCTGTTTCAAATGATAAAAATTTTGGAATAATTAAAGGAGCACACAGGCAATTACGTAATCATTATCGAATGAAAAAGAATTTTTCTCCACTTTTCCCACAATTTTAAATTAGATATTGTTTGAATTTAAATGATCATGAGCAATAACCGGAACTAAAAAAAATTTTTTGTCAAAAGATCTTGAAATTAGAACTTGAAGCTTCAAACTGCTTTATTTTATTATTTATTTGTATCTCGATACGACCATTTTTCACTGAATTAAGTCTGTCAAAAATCACTAAAAATTTTTGATTTTTTTATTCCCTTAATTTTTTCCAGCAGTGCATTAAGTTTTAAATCTTATTTTGTATGTTTATCTGTTTGGATGGTATTCGTTAAAATTTCATCCTCAAGGAAATAGGTAAACAAACAAGTGAGAGTAATTGAAAAAAATAATATAATACAACATTTTGTCTCAAAAATCAAGTGTTTGTCGGGCTTCATATGGATTTTTTTTCCTTTAAGTCTGTGCATACATATTTTTCTATTTCACATCTACAATTTCACATTATGTATTTATTGCCATTGTTTTAAGATGAACTGACTTTTGTATAGCAAATTATTTTTTTGTTAAAATTTATTTAAATTAATTGGTAAAGTTTCTTAAAAAAAGTATTTCGGTGATGACATACATATCTATTTTTGTAAAATATGAATTCATATTTTCGTTCACGTTAGAACTCGTTTATATTCTAGAGATAGAGGATACGGATGGTTTTGTATAACTTCCCTTCCATTTCTCCATCATTTTTCAAACTACAGAGAAAATTATCTCACTTTTTTTAAAGTAAAGGACTAGTGAACAATGAAGGAACAAACATGTCAAAAATAACTTACCTATATACTTATTATATTTGTATCATTTTTAAATTTTTTCATCTTCTGTAGTAATTTTTAAACACTAGCTATACAACAGTACTTAAAAATTAGAATATTGTCTTTGAAATACCTGAAAAGACTGTCAAGATATTTATATGTCCTCTTTCTCAGGTAGTTGTAATTCTTTGTACAATGTCTCCTCCATTTTAAGAGTCAATTAATGTTACAATAAAGTTTTTATTAAAATGTATGTTTCAATTTATCTATGAATTCTATAATAATTTTGAATACGGGGTGTATTTAAATCAAGGGATGCAAATGCTACCAGATAAGCTTGAGTGTAAAATATGATAATTGGACCAAGTATATTTTAATCCAAAGTTGCTTTATTTGGAAATTACACGGTGTTTGAAAAACATTTTATATGTACACATATCCGGAAAGAGAACTTATGCAGGTGAGTGTAAATAAAGACAAAAATACATTCAATTTGTAAAAACTACATCAAACAGCGAAGAGATACTGGAAAACATCCTCATTAAGAATTCCAGAATTCTGATTCCACATTTTGAAAATTATGAGGCATTGTAATGCTCAAAATTGATTTAAAATGTCTGTAAGCAGACATTTTAGAAAAAAAAAGTACAAGAATAAAAAGTTTTTATTTTGACCATATTAACACATCACAAGGAGAGGAATATGACAGTGAAAGTGGAAATAATAGCCTATGAACTTTAATTTTAAAATATCGGAATACCTGGATTTCCGTTTGCTATCTTTTTTTCCTTAAGTTAAGTTTAAAGCTCATAATATACTTATTCCTTTTTATTAGTTTACGGTTTGTTGCATCAGGTTATGTTAGTTTACAGTATATGGCATTTAGTTTGTTTATCCTGCGATTCATTAGATTAGGTTTAAAATTTGTGGTTTATATCTGTCTGTTCATTTAAGACTAGACAGGGAGGTTTTGTTATGTTTAGAACTAATGGTGTATGCCAGTGGTCGGCAAACCCTACAAGTCACATGTGGCTCTTTGGATCCTTGAGTGTGGCTCTTCCACAAAATACTACTTAAATCACAGTACAAGTGGTCTGCTTTGAAAAATCTGGAGAAGGAAAATATGTTGCTTTTTAAGAGCCAAAATAGTATTATTGGTATAATCTACTAAAAAACTAGCGTTTGCTGTTCCTTCCTTATTCGGGTCTATATATTTATGAGAACAATCATTCTCAAGCATGAACCTTATCAGGATTAAATTTACAAGTCGTCTTGTTCATGAGAACCTGGAATCGTGCCTTTAGTTGAAAACAATAACATACAAACCTGACTTACCCAAACTTTCAAAGGAGGTGCAAGGCCATTGTTCACATTAGTATTTGTGATGATCTAATTTTATGGATATTGTACGGAATTTAATTTTATCAATAATATTGTTATTAAGTATGATACCAGGGTTTAGTTAACATACCTATAGTTAACTAAGACTTAAAACTTTTAGTAAAGTTTATTAAGCGTCGTGGAGTGAAAGAAGATGTAGTGTTGATGATTGGGAAAGGTATGTTGAGATAGTTTAGACATACAGAGGATGAACGAAAGTATAGGATAAGTGTGAATAGAAGATTTTGAAGGTGTCGACCTCGGCGGATGTACCTCAATTGGATCGAGGTCGTTTTTAGCAAAGGAAAGCTAGGAGTACCATAATTAAGTTAAGCACAATGTACCTACATAGTTTAAGTTTAAAAAATTTGGCTTTCAAAATGGATTTCAATCGTTTTACTGTTGATATTTGGCTCTGTTGACTGATGAGTTTACCGGCTACTGGTGTATGCCATTGTTCTAGTTCGTGGTTAAACCCCTTCATTTGTTATGTTTAAAATTCGTGGCTCTTCCTCTTTTTTCAAGATTCAGGCACATGTCTTTTCAACATCTAATGGTAATCTCCCATCTTACGTCAAATCTTCCTTGACACCGTTGTAGTACTTTAATTTCAAAATTGTATTTTAACAAAAAAAATCGATATTTCCACTGAATTTGAGCTATTTTTTGAGGTTAGGAAAAAATTCTGACGTGATGGAGCATTGCTGATGACTCCATTGTTTTCAACACTGGGCAGTTCAAAATACAGGGAGGTATCGTACTGTTATATGCAATTTTTTTGTGCCTGGTTCCACTATTTAATCAAAATTTATTATTCTCCACCATGGCACTTAGGCCTCATTAGGCTCCTTGTACAACCTCTTTCCTTATTCTTTACTTACTTTCTTCAAACCATCCTATTACTACACGGATGACTTGGTGGCAAAGTCTCGTACAATTTTTATGTATGGTCTTGAGTTACAGAGATTTATTGCTCTATTATCATAACCATTTTTATCGGGGAACACACACAGGCGGAAGGTCACCCATCCAAGTTCCAGCCTGCGTCCGTGATGCTTAACTCGGCAGATCGAAATTCACCGGCCAAGGCACCCGGCTAAGCGGCCCCCTGGGACATTGTATAATTGATGTGTTAAAAAAAAGGACGGAATCTGGAAATGTGGGAAATGTTTTTGAAAAAATCACTATTTTTCCGCAACAAAGAAAACCCGGAGAAATGACATCCGGAGCCGGAAGATTTACCATTAAAACCCGGTGATCTGGCAACCCTAATCATAATGTGATTAGATCTGAAAATGGCAACCAAAAGAAAGCAGCTATTATATTTAATATAACCTTAAAATTGTGGTGGTTTCTTTGTTCTCTAAGAAGGCAGTTACTATTTTTATGTTAACTGTGCACAGAAGAATAGGTATACCTAAATGATATTTAAAATCAAATCAAATGTCAATAGTAAACAAAATCTTGTTCTCTTCAAGATTAGATTCATGGATCTAGTTCGTATTTGTCTGATCCTGATTCAGTGACCATGATTCAAAACTGACAGCAAAAGAAAACGCCTAAAATGTACGAAAAACTAACCTGTTTTTTTTTTTTGGCAAAAATAGCACCTATTAGCAACTAATATCAGTTCAGAGTAACTCTAAGTTGCTATTAGCTACTAATAGCTACTATTTTTGTCAAAACGAAAGTCCATCTGATTGAACTTTGAAATGTAGAGGTCTATTGTTTATTTAAATTCGAACTGCGCTTAGCACGGTAAAATACCCGAGTAAAGAAAACTATTTGTTCTTCTTTTTGAAAGATATTTTGTAGAAAATTTTATTTTTTTTCAGCATTCTGCCTTCATACATTCATAGCTTCAGCAAATTCATAAATAAATTCCTTGCATCAATATTTTCAATTAAATAAAACGACCTGTTAACAAAATTTAATCAATAGTCATATATTTAAAAATTACATAAGGATCTCTTTTATCACATCACATAATAAAAACAGAATAAATCTCAACAGTGACATAATGTTATGCTTATAACTTTCAAACTTTTAACAAGAATATCAAAAGAATAAATTAAATTGTCAAGTGAAATATAACTCCACCAACCCATTTACAATAATTTGACTTTATACACCAAGTCTGAATTTTATTTTTAATACTTATCTATAGCTTCTCTTTGAGAAAAAAATATAAGTTGCACTTAAATTTACTTTTTAACTTGCATCATGAAATACAGAAAAAGTAATATTCATGACAGGCACAACACAAAGGAGTTTCAACAATTTTTTTTATTTCAATATGTTTTTCTTATGCCCTTTTAACAGCTTGTTTGTGGCCATTTCTACACAGAAAATTATTAAAATATATTTTCCACATCTACAGAGTGTTACGAAAAATGTGCCACTGTTCAGGGGAAGATGCTCATTAAAAAAAAAAACTAAAAGTTCTACCAACATGGGTTCTAAAACAGTCTTGTTTTTTTTTAACATTCAGGTTCCTTTTTCCAAAACAAAATTACTAATCTGAATGAAATTTGGGTGATTATGGCCAATTTCTGTTATTGTGTTCAAGTAAATTTAAATAACTGATAGGCAAATTGTGTAAGCACTATTTTCATAATTTTTCAGGAAAGCTTTATAAAGAAAAGTTTTCACAAGTACCTAATTGTATAAAAATTCATAACGAAGAAGAGCAAATTGAAAAATGGATGGAACGGCACATTTTGCACACCTTGGTGAAGCTGTTTATGCCCTTTCAATGCTAAAATATTTACTTTTCACAACCAAAATTTCGTAAAATAAAATAGTTTTGAAAATATTTGGGAAAAACAAGACAGATAAACTTTAACACCCTGTATCTTAGAAACAAAATAGGAATGGGACCATGTTGATAAGAATTTCTTGTATTGAATTCTTAATGAAGAATCTCCTCACAAGTGATGACATATTTTGTAAACACCCTGTATAATAGAGTCCAAGAGATTTTATTTGAAAAACAAACGTCAAGACTGGTAATTATTCAAGCATTTTCATAAAAATTTAGCAACATTAATTTATATCTTAGTACTTTGCAATGTAATAATAAAAAAATTCTCATTTCCATATTGAGCTACTTGTTTACTGAGAACACTTATCAGAAAAATCTGCAAAGACTCCACTGAATTCTATTGTATATGGAGATCAAACCTTAAAGAAAAAAAAATATTAAACGGCCCCATTATTTATTATCCTATGGTGCTTTCTTTATATAAATAAATCTACCCCCAAGTCAAACCAGGCAAGTGCACATGAGCAAGAATATATTCAAGAACATAAGAGGATCCTGAAGATTCTGGACCTATTTTAAATTCATAAGTTTCATGTTTTTATCAAATTGAAAAGAAAGCAACACTTACTAGCTAAGCCTAAAACTACGTTGAGCTTGAAGATCTATCACTGTCCTGGTGCAGCTGATTTAAAAATGCGACATTGCTGGATTTCAGGCGGGTTGCCGCAGCCAAAGACGGCGAGGGCGACATGCAAGGCGTGGAGCAAAGGCTGTTACTTATATCACACTGGTCCAACATCCGCAGTAGTTCCTCGGGAGAAGGACCCCCATTTGTTTTATCTGAAGCAATTACAGGTATCAGTTGGTTCATTTTATAAATAGTTGCAGTGTAAAATCGTGCGTTAATTAGTTATAACATAATCAGCTAGCTTATTTTCTAGTCTGTAGAATCAAGTAAATTTCAATATGGTATCCTTAATTACACAGGCCGACAAGATTTTCACCCAACAACATGAATATACTTTCCCAAAGGATTTCGGTGCGCTGAATTCAAATGCGAAGTTCAAATTTCTCAATTGACTCTGGTTTTCGAGATATCCTAACCTAAAAGTGCCAAAATCACGATTTTTTGACATATTTGAGGTTATATTACATGACAAAGGTAATTTTTTGCTGAAACCATTAATGGGGTCTTAAAGTACTATATTTCCTCTTTAAAACGTACTTGGATTTATCTCGATATCATTTTTCGTCTTTGAGAAATTGCATGTTGAAATTTAGTAGTTTGACTTATTTCTTGATTTTTAGAGCTTATGGGTTTGGAGTTAATGGGTTAAGAGTTTATGGGCTTAGGGTTTTTGGGCAAACTACTAAATTTCAACATGTAATTTCTCAGGCAATAAATGATATCGGTATAAATCCAAGTGCAATTTAATGAGTAAATATAGTACTTTAAGATCCCATTAATGGTTTTAGCAAAAAAATGAACCTATCTCTGTAACATAACCTCAAATATGTTTAAAAAATCGCGATTTTGGCACTTTTAGGTTAGGATATATCGAAAACCAGAGCCAATTGAGAAATTTGGACCTCCGATTCGAATTCAGCACACCAAAATCCTTCGGAAAATTTTGTCAGCCTGTATTATTTACTTGGTTGCCATAATAAAAATTTCAAAATAACGTTTGGCTCCGCCAGTATTTATACACATTATAATGCTTTAGGATCTATTTTGTAAGAGGAAAGTTAAATTTTAAAGGGGGTTAAAATTTTGACGCCCATTATTTTTAGGTATGTATTCTGTATGAAATATATGATTCTTTTAAACAGTCGTTAAATAGAACCAGTGAAATGGTATTCTGTATGACATTTTTTGGGTTAAATTTTAACCATTTCCGTTAAGTCTAGACGTTAAAAAGTTAATTTTAAAGGTTCTTAAATTGGTGGTTAAACTAGTTTTTTCGTATAAATTGAAATCTGGAGATAAAATATGGCATTCGATGGATTTATTCACCTGGTACTTGTTGAAATTGACGAGAATAAGAGGCAAATGTAAGTTTACTTTGAAAAATTCATATAATTATTAAAATGAGCTTAACTGTACACCTCAATCAAGCTATAAAGGCAACCAGAATTCCTCCACACATTCGAGTTTTAATGGCTTTGAATTTTTTTGGACAAGAAAGTTATCAGCTCTCAGCTGGTCAGGCATACAATTTTTCAGTGAGCCAACCCGCAGTAAGCAGATGTGTAACTGAAATCTCAGAGGATATAACAACGTTTTTATTACCTGACTTGATAAAGTTACCTTTCAACATTAATGAAAGAGAAGAAATATTGAGTGGGTTCAGAGATATGAACAATAAAAAGTTAGGTTAAATATCAATACTTTGTCTTCTTCTTCTTCTTCGTGAAATTGAGCACGTTTGAACTACAATTTCCAAATAAAATTTTTACAGTTCGTTAAAAAGAACTTTACAGAATAGAGGAAAACGTTAAAATCCAGAATTTTAATCATCCGTGAAATTTAACTGAGGTGCTTACAGACTAGACCCTTTTCAAAAGTATTTAAAGAATTCTAAAATAACTCAAAAGTGCTCCAACCAGACCATCTACTTACTTATAGATTTATGTAACATCTTCACTAAATTTATAAAAAATACCACATACAAAAATAACTGGACGAAATTCGATGTGTACGTTACACTTGCAGTTGGGGCTTATCCCAGGCGGATGGATGTTACATAACCTTTCCTAAGTCAGTCTAACAAGTAGCGTGGCTTGAAACAGTTGTAGTGAGCCCCTGCCATCACTATTTCGACTCTTCGATTTTTTAAAATATGAAATATTTGAGAACAGCATTGACATTTCATTTTCTGCTTGTAAAAGTACATCGGACGCGGTTGTCTACAAGTCAGGACAAGTAGCGACACGAGCCGCCTTTTGATCAGAAGTCAACAAATGGGGGATGAATTTCGCTGTGATTCATCTCAATTTCAAATTTTCGACTAAATATGTTGCACTGAGCTCTATAAAAGACCAGATAATTCAGCAAGTACATCAATACTATGCCTTTTATCCTTACACACAAGCGTGCAAGTTTTTTCCACATTTTCATCAGTTCTAGATGTTTACAGCCAACCTGGGCATTGAATATCTTTGATCGACATATCGTCATGTTTGAATTATGAATACCACTCATACACTCGAGTTCTTTTCAAGGCATCTTCTTTATAAACTGTAGACAACATATCAACTACATCCGATGCACTTTTACCAAACAGAAAACAAAATTCCAATACCACAGCAAATTTCATCTGGTTATTTTTGGATCCACCTTTGTATTTTACAATTTTTAGAAAGAGCTCAATATGATTGATTGAAAAAAGTGCAATCAAAACAATTGAGTTTCTAAAAGTTTTGGTAATAATTTTATACTTCAGCGATTTAATATCCCCCTCCCTTTGACGCATAGTTTTCAAGACATGGGTAATTAAAAATGGAATAAATAATTACAGAATCCTTATTTGAAATACAACTCATTCAACAAACTGATATTACAAAGACGCCATGATCTCTCCGATACAATGTTACAGACTAACAATTGGACTTAAATTAGCAGGCTATGATTATATTGACAATTTGAACTATTTTATTAATGAATATTTTCTTACCTAAATCAGTCTTATAAGAGAGATCGAGAGCTGTAGTTAAATCCCACATTTGTATAGAACCATTTGAGTGTCCTGTGAATATAAACCTTCGAGGCCTAGACCCCATTCTACTAGACCCCTCGCACTCGTGAACGCAGAATGCACTCACAGTGCTGCCATCTACAGCTTTGATGACACAAACTCTAAAATAAATGAACAAAATAAAATCTCATAGTTGAATGTTTTAAATTTGCTACCGTTTCCCATTGCTGGCCAGACGTACAAACAATTGGTCGGCATCAGGAACAACTTTTTGTATGAACACCTGTTCATCGTCCTGTTCGCCAAATGGGCCACAGTCGTTGGCAGCTCCGTGGCTTATCGTGGGTTCCACTGCTTCTAAGGCTACTATTTTAAAAGAAGCTTCTGGCGTAGAGCCTGGTTGGGTTGAGAGCATGCCACGGAATCTTGTGACACGCCAACTTCGTACATGATTGTATTCTGAGCACACAGAGACGAGATATTTTTCTGATAATGTCACCTATACATAAAAGATAATTCAGGTCTTCAAAAACAAATTCTTTGATATTTTCAAATTTCAAATGCTGTATTACTTGATTAAGATATTCTAATGGAATTTCTAAAAGGTGTTCATATATGAACAGTCTCAAGAAACTTAATTTTAATATTTATAAAATAATTTTGATACATTTTATATTTAGGCATGAAAAGCATAATTATTATATGCAAAAAGAAAAAATTTGATGCAGTAGCAGTGCTCTCTTGGCAAGTTTTTTTGCCTTTGAAAGGTTTAACTAGGAAATTGCATATTTTGTTTCCAATGGTGTTGTATACTGCATAAGCAGTACATATTAGAAAAAACAGAATTTTCAAAAATCAGTACAACTTAATATGGAGAATTTGAATTCAAATATTTTAACAACCAATTTCCTTCTCCATAAATGAATTGAAAATATACCAAAAATTGTGGTATGTAAAAAGTTTGTACAAATTTTAATGACAGATACTAGGCTACAAATCTACAAAAAAATTCAATTCAAGATGTCTTGAGATATATTAGCAAGTTATTCTTGATGTATGACATTGGATGAAAGGCAAACTGATTTATTTAAAAAACTTTAAAACAAAACCCAACTGAATTACTTGGTGTACATTGTTGTTGTCTATATAACAGAATAAAAGTGACTTTTTCCGCCGAAAAAACTCGACTATGTCTCGTTTGGCGTACATCAGCTACCCTGTGACATAAAGACGAGCAAGACGGTCTCGCTTGACATAACCAATGGATTAAAATTGTTACAGACCCAATTCCTAGCTTCATGGTGCAACAGAGTCCTGATAGACTTTCTTCCACTTAGCACTTATAAGAGTATTTTATATACATATTAAGGTTCTCTTGCGGGGCAGGCGGTGCGGGAAGGAAGCCTATGCTTATACATGGTAGTTTCATTGTAGTACCAACCTTACTTAAATTAATTTGAGTGAACTAAATATAATATATATGAATGAAATTTATACAATACATATTAGCTTGCACATATTTTTCATGTTTAATGCACGACAATTAACTTTTTATTTGAATACAAGTGTCTATTTATTCATTAAGAGCTTGTAAAATTATGGATGAAATCTGGCAACCTTGCCATTGCCATGGCGTGGTGGTCAATTGTCATTACTGTCAAGTGTGCTTTGCGCGTATTCCGTAAACATGAATGAACATCCATGATACAAAGGAAAAGTAATGACTGAGAAGCAATTTAAAATGCATATGAAACAGAATGTGGATTGATGAGAAAAAAGTAAAATGTGCAAACCGAGAATCCATATGATAACTATCAAGAAGCTCAGTATATAATAGTGAGACATCGCCTTGTCAAATTGAAGATTATGACAGAATATCTATACTATTCGTTTTGCAAAGAGATCCTTTCAATTTTTGTTTCAAATTGCTATTATATTGCATTAGATCACGAAAAATTTATTTAATATTATTACTACATGTTTTCCACTGGAATAATTTTGGTCTATAATCGAGCTATTCAAATATAGCGCATCAGTTGAAGCATTAAATACAGCGTACAGTGTTGCCATATTTCCTTTCATTGGATCAGATGTTTGTTCGAATTTGTCAAAACGTTATATATTCATTCCATTATCTCAATAATTACATTGTAAGTGCATATTTTTATTGTTTTAAAATGTTTAGTAATATTTAATTCTTTAATTACAATTTTATTTTCCCGATCCTAACCATTTTTAAGAGCAATATTCACGTTTGATTAAAG